ACATCAGGGGCAAGCAGCCCTAGTGGGCTCTGTCAAGCAGACGGACATTTAGCTTCCCATGTAAAGGGAGCCATGTGCTGATGCCATCGGTGCAGGTTTGCTCAAAGGGAAGCTCTGATCCTAGCAAAACTGCGCACAGCCACGTCTTCTGAGCACAGCCTGCTGCACGGAGCGGTTTGAAGAGATGCGGGGCTGGGAATGATGCCTTCCTGTGGCACATCTTGACAAGGCTGTCCCTGAGCCCTGCTCCTCTGGCAGGCTGCCCTTTGTACCCTCAGCACAGAGCCGTGGTGGCTGGAAAGCAGGGGAGGAGCAGAAAGCGCCTGCTCCCGCTCTTCCCGCCCTGCCGTGGAGAATTGCAGCACAAGCAAGAGCGGTTGAAAAGTAGTTTTTTCAAGGCTTCCCTTGGTAAAAGCAGATCCACCTCTTTCCTTTTTAAAAATCCCTCTCGGAGTTTCATGGATACAGGTTCTCTGAATGTCTTGGCAACCCTTTCTAAACAAGCACTGACAAGCCCTTCAACAGCTCCTTGGGAAGTGGGAAGAGCGTTAGCTCGGGCTGGAAATAAAGAAACTGGGCTGCAGAGTAACTGAAGCCAAGTTTTCATGATGTTGATTTCTAATCTTCTTTGCCGGACAAATGCCTCATCTCTGATCCTGTGAAACAGAAGATCAGTTTTACTTGGCAACACATTTAGGGAATGGGGAGCAAGTTATGAGCAGGGACGGCTGAGGAATTTGCAGCGGCCTCAGATCTGTGGATCTGACATAGGAACGCTGCAGCAGACCAGCTTTTCTGAGCAGTGCAGATTCCAAAGATCGGTTTGTTTGCAGAGCAGTCTGCATGTAATGCTGGGGAAACTCTGGAAACTTTGCTCAAATTTACTCTTTCACCAATGCCCATCAGATGGAAGCTCATCGAAATTGTCTCTTGAGGTGAGTCAGCACAGCCGCCTGGAGGTTTGCATCTCCTCCAGGGTGTGGCCACGGAGATGGTCCTGACGGATGCCTGCATCTCAACATTCCCCACTTGTCTCCAAGGATCTGACACAAGGTGCATATTCTACCTGCCATCCCCTGTGCTCTGTATTTTGTAAGTATGCCAAATACTACAGAAAGGGATGTTCTCTCCTGTAAAGGGAGCCGAAACCCACCTACTGCTGCCCCTGAGCTTACACCACTTGGGGAAATGGGCAGCACAAATATGGAGGCACGAACAAATATGGAGACATGAAGACAGAAGGAATCCATACAAATGTTGGTCAAGAGAAAATTAAATATGCATGAATATACATATGCTATATAATAGGCACTATATGAAAGATAATGGACATGTGTACCTGAGAAAAGGATGATAGGAGGAGAAGGGAACTTGTGGGGGAAAGAGATTCTATTATCTCTTCTAAAAAGTATTGTCTTACAGGGGTAGCTTACAGGAGGGCTTTTGCGGGGGAGAAGAAAACACAGTGTAAAAACCATTTGCTATGGACTGTGAATTCACAAAACATGTTTTTTCTGTTTGATTTTCACAGTAAATAATCAGCATGGCCTTGTTCACACCAATAAGTACAGCATTTGCCCAGAACTTTGAGAATCAGACCAAACTTCAAAGCCATATTGGTCAGTATCTCCATTTACTCCAACAACCACTAGTGGAAGTTTTAAAATCTGCATGTTGAGTGTCCAGCGCTGTTATAGCTTGTTTAGTTTTGTCTTCATACTACTGATATCTGTATAATGTAGTGTTTCCCAGGTAATATTCGGAAGCTGGGTGAAGCAACCTACCTTGGGGATAACACAGCCCCCCTTTTCCTCTTTTTAATCAGCACCGTTTCTCAAAGAAATGCCCAAGGTTATTCCTGAGAGGGCTTCATCTATGGACAGGATTCAGTCTGTATTGCAACATTAAAATTAAGACATGTTGATCCATAATAATAAAATGGCAAATACTATTCCCAAACAATGCTGTGAGCATCTAACTGTTCCTAAGAAAGGGATTGCCTGACTCTGAATTTTGAAAAAAAAAAATGCATGTTTAATTCTTTTGCTGTCTTAGTCTCGGAAGAAGTTAATTGGACCTCCTCTCCCAAATGCCAGCTACTTCTTAGTAGCCTGGCAGTTCTGAAGTAGCTACAAGTGCAAGGCTGAGAAAGTGGAAGACTAGGCCTTTGTAGCCCTTGTGGAATGTCACTTCTTAGTGCTTCTCACTACAGAAATGGCAGTGAAAGTTGAGGGCGTAAAATCTTGGGTCCCCCATATGAGGGTTAAAGCTGCACCAGAGACCCAAGAGGACTGTGCAGGGTGATCTGAATGGCAAGCATTGCTCCAGAAGCTGCCACAAGCCGCCACAGGAGCTCCTGACCATCAAGACGTCCTCAGGAGCAAACGTGGTCCTGAGAGCTGATTGAAGATCTTTGTTTTCTGTCAGAAAGACAGACTGAGACACGAGTGCCTAATGACCCTATCCTGTTATCCTGTTTCTGATGTTCTTGTCTCTGCTTCTTTAACACACTCAATACATATCTTATCTAAATAAATCAGGAAAGGGGAGGAAATGTGGGGGTCACAAAATGGGTGGGAGCCTACCTCTTTGGCCGCTACAGGTTTTTCATAATTGCCATAAGAACAGGAGCCCTAACGCCCCTCCAAATCAATGAAAATGGATGGAGTACAAATTTGAATATAGACTGCTATGAAAGCACTGTTGAATCTCTTTCAAGGGCTTTAACCTTGTCACTGAATCTAACAAAACGTTGGTTGTGTCTGATAGCAGCAGAGGATGGAGAGGATCAGTGTTCCCTCTTCAGGTCCATCCACTGACAGCTGAAGAGTTAGCCAGCCCTCTGGCGCTCTCCAGAGATGCTGAGAGAGCTAATCAGACCTGACAGGATGCTGGATATCAGACAGACAGATGGGGAAGGGTGGGATGCGGAATGGAAGGAGGGAGAGCTGTGTTGCAAAAGACAGAAATCTGCCAAGACTGGCCTAGACGTGGGAAGAGCATGTTGCACCTGGACAGGGCCTGGGGACCAGGGCATCCCGGCACAGGCTGGTGACACAAGAATGGAGCTTTTGTCACAGGGTTTCAGCAAACGGACATGGCCCGCATGCTTGGTTGGGTGCAACACTGCACTGTCCTTGCTGTGCAGAAGCAAACCCAAACTGCTCTGGGCCAGACTTGCCCAAACTGCCTTGACTAGGACCCATTCAGTGGAGGCCACTTCCACACGGGGATAGGATGGAGGGCAACCAGGACTAACTTCCCAGAGGTTTCGCAAATGGGAAGAGAGCAAAGGTGGGACACTATTTTATTTGTGGAACGAGAGCTTATCACACTCTGCCCCCAAGCTGGTATAGGACTTGATATGTAGGGAGGATTTATGCCCCTTTCAAAATTCTCAAACGTACGCACCCTGTTTATCACCCAGGCTTTGTGGAGCTGCCACACAGTTGCCCAGACAGGGCTACAGGGTCAGAGAAAATTGGGCAGAAAACCGCAGCCCTTCAAGAGGATCAAATACTTGGAGGGATGGATTTTCCGATCTACGATATGGGCAGAATAGCCTGGGCTGTAACTAGACTCCAGGCTGTGGTTGAAATCTTAGCAAATGACACCTCTGAGGCCTTGAGGTGACTATCAGTGAAGTCTCCCAACTAAGGAGGGCTGTCCCCCCCTCCACCACAAATAGTCTGGGAATAGACTGCACCCTGGCCTGGGGAGCTGGAGTGGTCTCTATGGAGTCTTTAACTGGATTGATTGCTGTTTTAAGGTTGATGACAACGGGGACTTAGTGAGGAGACTGGCTGGCCACGGCCAGCATCAAGCCCCCCACACAAATTCAGTCTTCAGGTGATGCCTGGGACTGGCTACCTTCATGGCTTCCTAATTTTGCGTGGCTGTGGCGGGCCTTGGCCTATGTTCCTGCAATTGCAGCTGCGCTCGTTTCCACTGTTGTTGTGTCCAGTGGACCCCTTTACTACAAGTCCTTAGGGACTGCTTTAAACCAAACTTGCATGAAGTATATAAAGAATACTATGAAATGCAAGCTGGAAAAGTGCGACGCAAAAGCCACATGTGTGGCTTAGCTCCGAAGGGGGGAAATTGATGTACAAATCAATAGGTACAACCTACACAGGTATAATCATGCCATCATTCACACACAACTGGGCCAGAGAAAAACCCTCTTTTCTAGAAATCAGCATGTGTGCATCCTTGAAACATGGCTGACACTAACCAGGCACCAGGCCAGAGAAAGCTAGTTGGCACTTGACAGATCACAGCAACTCAAACAAAGGGCAATTTGCATCAGCCCACCCCATCCTGCTCCTCTTCTATGTACGAGGACTCCATCCTCCTTACTCCTTTGGAGCATCTTCTTTGGTATGCAAGTGGGAAAGATCACTCCATCGTCACTTTTTACTTCTGTAACCTATTGGAAAGTGCTAACTGTGTTATGAGTAACCCTTTAATGATCAGTGTGTGAAAGGGCCAACTGAGGACTTCTCAGGTGCACCACCTGGAACAATTTGTTGGTAGCCAGCTATTCTCAAGAATAAATCCTCTAAAAGAAAACCTTCCCCTGTTGTGTATTTTGGCCATATGCATACCAGGACATGGGCCATTTGGTCAACCACTTCACACACTTTCTCTGATTGTCCAGCCCTCAAAGGAAACAACAGTGTGTGCGCGTGTGTATGCGTGCACACGCATGCGCACACCTGGCTGCAGTTGGATTTACCAGTTCCCATCACATGGGAAGGGAACAATAGTTTTCTATAGGGCCCTCATCATTCTTAGACATCCTTAGCATCCCTGTGGTTGCTAAGCAACTATTTGCATCTTCCATATTTGCACCTGAAGATTCCGGGGGCCCAACTGCATCTGGGCTTTGACAGCTGTGCAGGTGTTTGCTTTCCCTCTCGTGACCCATAGCCAAGGGAGGTGACAAGGGGCATCTCAAGGTCTGTGAAAAGTGGTGGGCTCAGAAGTTCGCAGGCATCATGACGACCATGGATGAAGAGGACCTGAAGGAGTATTTCCGCATGCAATATGGACAGAAGCTACTGAAACTGCTGATGTGAGTTAGACATGCCTATTTTAATGTCTTGCCTATCCCTTGTGCTGTGCCCTTCAGCATCTTCCCTCACAGCGAGACCTTGACCTGGGCTCCCTCTCCTCTACCATTCATCCCCCCTAGCTTCTCTTCCTTGCTTCCCCATTTTTGGTATCTTCCACTTCTCCCTCCTTCTGTTTTCTGTACTGATCCCTTTTCCACCCATTTTTCACAGCAAACACCCCGCTGGATCAGTTCATCTAGACCAGCATCCTATTTCCAGTAATAGCCAACCAGGTTTCCTTGGAGAAGCCTGCAAGTAGGGCAGTTGTGTTCCCCTGCAGAATGGGGAGATGGAGTGAGTGTGTGAAGGGGGTTAACCCTCTCCCCTAGCTCTCTGGCCTACTATAATTCACCCCTCTGTATGCTATTATTAATTCTTTTTAAAATGTGATGTATCCTGATCAAGGATCACTATGTCGCACCTAATATGGCCTTAAGGAGCTTTAATGAGGACTTTTGTAAAGCGCTTCCCACTTTTTAATGTATCACCCCATCACTGTCTGGGAATACTAACAGGCTGGCAAGGCAAAAACAAAAACAAAACACCCTTCCCTTTGCAGAAGGCATGCTGATACTTCCTCAGCAAGTCTTTTCTTCTGTGTGTTGAAAGGCATGGTTAAAACTAGATTTTTTTTACCAGTTTATCAGTGCATGGACTGACAGATCCATAATTTTATCATTTAGGCAAGACCTCAACTTTCTACAGGAAGATTTTTTCAGTCATCTGATCCTTTTCGCGCGCGCGCGCGTGTGTGTGTGTGTGTGTGTGTGTGTGTGGCAGGGGGTGTATAGCATAAAACATTCCCGTCCTATGGGTCCTACAATGTGTTAATGTCTCTGTATTGATCATGGGAACATGACTCCCTTCTTTAATTAGGAAATTCCCAGTATCAGAGGAGCAGTCACCATCTCCCTCCATTCGGCTCCTAGAGAAGAAGAAGGAAGCCAAGTTGGTGCACCAGGCCATGGAGGCCCAAAAGGAGGTGAGATTCTTCAATTGGAGGAGATGCCCTGGTTGTTTGCCTTTGTATCCCAGCTGGCCAGTTCTAGCATACTTTATTACCAGCCAGTGCCAAGAAGGGACGGGAGGATTTTGCTGAATCTGCTCCACCTGCATTTCATGGCTGCGCCATGGTCTTTTGTTCTGTTCTCTTCTGGTTTGTGGTATCTGGTTTTTCAAACAAGAAATTTGCCTAATAGCACTAATTCCCATTAGCACTGGTGTGCATTACTGTAAATCTCCCACTGAAAGAGACAAACAGTTCAAGTCCAAGTAATCTGGAAACATCTTCAGGACCCAGAAAAAGCTGGTCTCCTGCAGCAACTGCAGATCAGAGTGGTAGAAATCCAAACCCATTTGCATGAATCCCAGATTTTTCTGACATTACTAATTCCAGATCAAGACACCTCATAGCTGGCATTTTGTTGCCAGTAAATCACACACCACTTGGTTTATGCACTGGCACCAAAATACCTCCTGGCTGATCTGGCCAATGCATCACCCTCTTTGATCATTTGCCCCATGTGGGACCGTGTCTGCATTTTGGGATAACCAGTCTTCCCACCCCCTACAGAGGTGAAATGTCTGCTGTAACCTAACGACAGGTTGGTCTGCTCCCTTGCCAGGCATTTAAGACTCGAATGGAATCTCTGAACAATCGTTGGGAGGAACTTGGCGCAAAGGAGGTCCAGTTGAAAGCATATATCCGGAAATTTGAGCAATTCATACAGGTACGCTCCTAAGCCCAATGCCCACATCCTCTTTTGTCTTTACAGATCCTCACTGGCTCTCCCTGAAGCCAAACATGCGCACAGGGCGGCTTTTCTCCATTCAGTAGTATCATTAAGGTGGGGTGATAGGGTATCTGCCCCCAGGTATATCCTGGATGAGGGCACAAAATAGGTCAGGCTGGACCTTGAATGAGAACCAGCTTTACTAAAGACCTGCTCTTTGTTAATGTAGCTCAACACTGCATTTTGGGCTCCCTGCTTGCCATGGGGACTGCCATGAGAAGCACCTGCACATCGAGATTAACCACTGCACCACTGGAAAAACCCTTCTCTGCCTGAGACCCTGGAGGGTTGCTGCCAGTCAGTGCAGACAATCCTGGGCTCCACAGGCAAATTGTCTGACCTGGCATAAGAGACCAGAGTGCAGTGCACCTCTCACATAAGCTCTCCAGGGAGGGAGCCCGCAGAGTCTGCATGGGCAGCCGCACCTGGCAAGCACTATTTGCCTCCTCTCATTGTTTCCTTCCATTTGCTCTGCTGGGAATGGGGGCTTCAACCCGGTGGGCATTAGGAGAATGACCAGAAAAGGATCAGAGCGTTGAAGAAAGCCAACAAGGAGCGGGAACTGAAGAAGCAGCGAGTGAAGGAGCTGGCCAAGGCCAAGTTGGAGATGGCAACTCTGAAGCAGCAGCATCAGAAGCTGTACAACAAGCTGCAGCGCTACTCCATCTTCAACAAGTACCTGGAGAGGGTGGTTGAGGTCTCAGAGGTATGTCTGAGGGGCGGTGCTAAGAAAGGAGGCAAAGCTGGTGGGTGCGTCTAACTAGCAGGAGCTTGTTTCTAAGTCTGGCCCTTGTGTGTGCCAAAACACAGATGCAACTGGAGCACTAAGCGCCAACTGAATGATCAAGTCACCGGGTTGCCGTGTCAGATGACACTTGAGGATCACGTTTAACACTGATGTATCTCTGCAGAGCCAAACTATGGCACCTAAATGGCACAATCGTGTGGTCATGGGTGTGATTGCTGTCCCGGCCAACATCTGCAGAGTTTCATGAGCAGTGGTGCATGAGACATGGAGACTTTGTAACTGGGTTAAAATGATACAAATTCATTTGTTGCATTCATGCAATCCAGATTTAGCTCCACATAGCACACCACAGACTAGGTCAGCTTTCAGCTCCTTGGTACCTTCCAGATACTGGTTGGGCATTATGGGAGTTGCAGTCCAGCACATCTGGAAAATACCAGGCTGGAGGAGGTTGGTGCAGGCCAAATGCCCATTGCATGCAGGAGGTGAGAGCCGGCTGTCTCTTTCTGTGCAGCTTTCCCAAGTCAGGATATTGCCTGCACAAGACCATGGCGCCTGTAGCCGATCCACCTTTTCCCTCTACCTGCTGCAGTGTGTTTGTGTGTGTGTGTGCGGGTGGGTGGGTGGGTGGGAGGTCAGCATTTAGAAAAGGGATCCATGATGGTCAAAGCTGACTTTCAGTTAAGTGAGGCTTGGTATCTCAGGATGCAGGCGAGTAATGCCAAGGCATCCTCTACAGTTTGAGGAGATCCGGGAGGTCATTGGTCGCTACAGGACATTGGTGGGGATGCACCGGGACCTCGTGCAGTCAGCCCAGGAGGGACTGGAGTTGATCGAGCAAGCCAAGGTCCGCCTGGCCCGCTATAAGGAGGAGAAAGACGACGAGATGCTGCAGCACAACAATGAGCTGGCGCGCCTGCAGCTGCGCTTCGACCATGCCCGCAGCGAAGTCATTGTCTGGGTGAGCAGCAGGGCGGGCTGGGATGCCATCCTTCCCAAGGAGGACTGCTGGGAACTCCACGACTCTGAAGTTCTGTGCTCTGACTGCATACCTGAAACCAGGGGGAAGGCACCCGCTCCCCTGGGGCTTGCGTTGACCAACGCCTCCAAGTAAATACTGTAGCCAGGAAGGGCATGAGCCAAGGGCAGACACGTCGTACCCTTGACTAGCTAGCTCCCAGAAAGCCCTGGCTCAGTGAGCAAGCCACTGAGTACCAGCGAAAGCCATCAGCGTTGGCAGCAGTAAGTAAATGCAGCCATCACACACCTCAGCAGGTGTCCTTTCATATCAGTTCAATCACGCTGCTTGCAGACTTTGGGAAAGGAAATTATGTGCACATTGTTTCATGTAAGGCTTAGCATCAAGCCAACACCGCATTCAGCATAATGAGACCATGTGCCAGCTGTCGATTCCGGGGGCTTGTGGGCCTCACCATGCAGCCATCAGTGCTGCTGTCTGTCTTTAAGCTTTTCTAATTTTATAAAAATCAGCTGGGTGTTTATAACAGGGGCGGAGGATTCCCACTGACCTCAGGGCCAGATTTATCTCTGCTCCCTCCAGAACTCAGCAGGGGCCTCATGCTCCTCAGAACTGCTACTATTGTGCTGGTGAAACTCAGCACTGTGGCAGAGGCAAAAGGGGGCTAATTTTCTCGTATTTTAAAGCAAAGTGACATTTGCTGGACATTTCTAGGAGTATGATGTTGTTTTCCCTTATAAGCAGGCATTCACTCCCTGCTTAAAGGAAAATTGGCATTTATTTTTCTTGACCCATAGCACCCAATTTCAGTGGCAGGGGCTGAAAAATCAGCCAGAGGGTCACATGCAGATGCTGCCTGGAGCCATGTGTTGCCTGTTCATGCTTGGTACTCTGCCTCCTCTCTGACTTGCTAACGTTCTATTTCCTGCATTAAAACCAGAAATAAACTAGTCTTTCCCAGCATGAGGCAAGGTGCACTTCTTTCTGTCTGGTTAGACAGAAAGAGTTAGTTAGTTCGTTTGTTCATTCGTTAGTTAGAGGGTGAAGAGAATAGGCAGCACCTGACCTGAATAAAGGTGTTCCCTGTTCCAATCTCTCCTGAAGACAGTTTATTTCTCCTACGTCCAGCTTCCTAGCTGAAGCAAAAGCATTAGAGCAGGACTTTTTGCTTCTGCCCAACTGTGAAAACAAATTATAATACTTACTTCCAGGTTGCCCCTTTATTCTAAGGAGAGGTTTTGCCTTCCCAGAATGAAAAACAAGTCCATTTGCTGGCTATCATCATGGTTTTGTCCATCTCTTTCCTGCAAACCCCATGAAAGACCCGCAGGGCAAGCAAGGTTTCTGTGTTATTTCACCTAATCCTGGTTAATGTTTTTAAAAATCCACACAGAAATGTACTCAGCAAGTTTCTTTGCACCACCCTACTGTACAGAGTACTTTCAAAGGGTTTTCCTTGCTGAAAACCATTGACCAAGATGGAGTTGACCACCATCTCTGGAGCAACCCACTGTGTGTCCTTTTTCCAGCTAGCAGGAAGAAATGGGAAGAAAGAGACAGTGCAAAATTTCAGGTTGCCTCTTAAACAGCAACAGCACCGGCAAAGCCACTAGGAGTAGCCAGAAAATATTTACTGCTATCCTTAGTAATACAACACAAAGAATATCTGATGAGTCAGAGGGGCTTGTGAACGGGCAGCTTGGGCTGAGCAAAAAGTGAATGGTGCTGTGCATCCAGGCAGGACCAGCCCACTTCCGTCTGGTGACAAACCTCTTAGCATCTGAATTAAAATTCCATGAGGGCAGGTAGATGGATAATGCACAGAATATTAGTTCAGCCGGGCAGAAAAGTCTGTTAGGCAGACCAGATCACAGAAATGAAACGTAACAGCAAAAGCTTGGGAGGGGGGTGGAAAGGGGGAAGGCTGCTTATGTCGGCTGCTCTGTAAGTTGTATTGAGTCCCCAAAATGCAGTCCGGGGCACTCCTAAAATGAAAGCTTATCAATGGAGGTATCTGCTAGAATTCACTCTCCCAGCTGAGGCCTGGACTGTGCAATCACAGAATTTGATGGATGGCCCAGCAGACTCTGAGGTCTTCCCTTGTAGCTCTGCGGTGTTTTCTCACTCCCCCACCCCACGCCCACTTTCTTTTTCTTATTACCCTTACTCAAATTCATCAACACCCTTTCCACATTTCCTGAACTGCCCTCTGTACAGGAATCACGCTGGGCTCATATCCAGAATACGGCTGCTAAGAAAACCCTGATGCTGGGTACCATCAAGATGGCCACCTTGAACCTCTTCCAGAGCGTAAGCAAGCAGATGAAGGAGGCGCTAATGGTGCCTGTGGAGGACACCCATAAGCAGCTGGATATGGTATGCATGGGCAGCAGTGCCCTTTCCTTCCACACCGAGGGGATCGGGATGTTCCTAGCCTGATAACCACAACAAGGGAACCGCCTTCAAGCATCTCTTTGGATGAATGTCTTTCAGTCCAAGGGGCAAATTACATTTCGGAGAGAGAATTCCACGAGTGCGTGGGAAAATGGCAAAAGAGAGCTTGCCAGAATGACAAGGAAGGCAGCAGATTGTGAGAAGAACGGCGGAGCTCGATTGCACTGCCAGGGAAGGCCAATATCCGTGGAACTCTCCCAGGGACGGAGTGTCCAGGATCTTACTGTTACCACACAGCTCCTTCGGCACCATAGCAGGGAAGTCAAACCTCCCTCAGCCCAAGAGATGAATTCCATTTTGCAGAAGCTCTCAGGGGCCACAGTCCCATCATGGACAGGACTGAAGGCAAACGGGGCAAGGCTAAAATTGCCAACATGAAGTTTTATCATCAGTTATTAAGCTTTAGGAAAGGCATGTCAACCTTTTAGAATGGGGGGAAACTGCTCCAAAGCCAGGAAACCAACATGTGTTTGCTGACTGGGGGAAAGAGGTGTGGCAACCTTGAGAGCCTCAAGGGGTAGATTGGGAAGAACCAGATCTGGCACCTGAAGATGAGGGTCTGCTCTCCTAATGTAGAGCATAGAATCAACTTTGAGACAGCTGTGTGACACAAGGTGAGGGTTTTAATCAATATAGAGCCCAGAGACCTAAGTAGAACCTATCCCATTCCACTAGGGCTTGAGGCTTGCAGGGAAATGGTGGAACCATCATAAAACACTTTTTGGAAAAGCCTCTTCTAGTAAAGTCAGAGCAAGTGAAATCTCCTCTGATAAACTCACATCAAGAACATGAAAAAGTAGCTGAATTTGTCAAAGCACATCTGGATTCTGGCAGGCCCTATCAGGACCATGGAAAGCTCCCAGTCCGCTTTGCCGCTTCTATCTTGGCCTCTGTTACAGCCCTCTCCAATCTGCTGCCCTCCAAAGGATTTAGAGCACAACTCCCAGAATGCCTAGCTATTGGCCATGCTGGGTGGGTGTTATGGGAGTTTAAATCTAAAGCATATGGAGAGCACCAGGTCAGGGAAAGCCGCTCCTTTTCTAAAACTTGCAAGATGCTGTTTCACTAAAGAGATGAAGAATTCCAAAGGCCAGCAAGTTGGCCCTGCCTCTCTGAAGCACCTGGCTGTGTTTTTGGGAGAGCCACTGTCTGGTTCTGTAACTGTGTGATTCTGCTAGGAAGAGGAGCTGAATGTACAGGAGTCTAAGGAAGGTGGAAGGGCCACATCCCCAGGCCAGGCATAGGAAGAACTGCTGGAAGTGGTGCATCCTGCCTCTTTCAAGTCTGGGTTTTTCTCAGCAGTGCTCAGGGAACTGGAATCCAGCATCCAGACAGAACCCTGATTGGTTAGGCAAGATGTATGAAGTGTCGGCTACTAGTAGCTATCCATGTGTTTTAGCCCTAACCCCCATCAGTCCCAGCCAGCATAACTAATGGCAAGAGATGGCGAAGGCTGTAGGCCAAAGCGAACCACAAGTTGCTCCCCTCTGATCTGGTCCAGCATTCTGTTTCTGGCAAGGACCAGCCCCGTAACTCCTGGGAAGTCACAGGCAGGGCAAAAAGGCTGCAGTCATCCCTCATTCTTTGTCCCTGAAGTCTGAACCTCAGAGGGCCACCCACTGGAAGCACCAAGAAGATGCACTCGGGAGAGATTATGTCTGGCTGGAACACAGTCTAGAAGAAGCTGTGGTGGCTCCAGTATTCTGTGTGTCTACCTCAGCATATTTGGGCCATCACTATCCAGTCCCCCCCTCCCAAAAAAAGGGGGAAATTTCTGCCCCTCAGGCCACCAGCACTGGTTAAGTTCCAAAATACTATTCAACTCAAGCTTGTGCTAATATCCTACTCACTCCCATTTTGCCAGTCTGATGTGATGCCTCTGCCACCTTTGCTCTCAGATCCAGCAGTTTATCCAAGATCTGTCAGACATCTGGGCAGAAGTGAAGAAGAAAGAGCAGAACAGATCACAAACAATAGTGCCAAAGGATATGTAGGAGAAACAGCCAGACGACAGAGGACTCCCACTGCCCCTCTCTCTGCCCCCTCCCTCTCCAGTGCTTGCTTGGACTGGGGCAAAATTGGCAGCCCATGAATGCACTGAAGGTCATACTTTCCCATCTTCCACATCCCACTCCTTGGAAAGATACTAAAGTACATATGATATAAAGAGCATATTTTTGGTAACATAATCTTGGTTTCCCTACTGTGATTTGTTCCATGTTTGATGAAAGTAGCTGTGCCCCGAATCTAGGTCAAGCAGCCTAAGGATGAGTCCATTGGAAGTAGAAAGTCACGGTATGGTCAGAGAAGGGCAATGAAGAATGAAATGCTCTCTCTAAGCAATTTTTGGTCTGCAAATCTTTTGTTGAGGAGGGGTAATCAAAATCCCTTGTCGCATGTTTCCCATGCTGTGGACAAAGAAAGGAAGTGCACATATTTACATCAAGGGTGGGCAACTTGTGGCCCTCTAGCTGTTTTGGGCCATAGCTCCCACGTTTGCTCACCAATGGCTTTGCTGACTAGGGCTGATGGGAGTTGTAGCCAAAATGTCTGGAGGACCACAGGTTGCCAATCCCCGTTTATGTGAAGGTATCATGCAACCATGAAAGACGGTTCACCCAAAGTTCCTTTGCATTTTTCTTTGACCTTACTTGGTAAATCAGTTCCATCATTTGTAGGTAGACTACCAAGTTCCACACATCAGTCCCCAGCACTGCCCTGTAGCACAGGCCCTGCCTCCTTGCGATGTCATTGAGGTGGACGTTTGCTCCCTTGTGCTAAACTGGGGAGAGGAGGTTACCCACATGGAAAGGAAGAGGAACTATGCGTGGGTGGGGAGGTGAGCATAAGCAGCGCCTTCAAGCCAGGGAATCTTCAGCCCATGGCCTCCTTTCCTCAGCCTCAGCTGTGAGCTCTCTCCCAACCCCAACCCCCAACCCCAAAAAGATAACATCAGTCCAATACAGAAGTTAGGCTTTTAAAAAGGCCTCCATTGATGCCTTTTAAACACGGATTGGTTCTCTGCTTGTTGAGAGAGATTTTGGAGGAGAGCTGGGGAGGTAAATCTTAATCCTAGGGAGGTAAATACTGAACTACTGGAAATTTCTTTCTACAGCAATTAGTTTTGAATAAAGTCTCAAACAGGAGAGGAAGTCACATCTGGGGAGGGAAGGAAGGATTAACCATTAACCTTCCCTGCCAGCTGAAAACCACGTGAACACCTCTTCTTCCTCATAGCAGACAGCTTTGGAAAAGGAGTCTAGTTGAAGTCACTGCCTGGGTTCAGACAATGATACCCCTCAATCAAGAACTGAGTACTAGTGACTGACATATGAGTTATCATGTTGCCTGGACCCAGCCAGTAGGAGCCCATAGTTCACTGGGCTGCAGACTGTGGGTTCACTATGCTCTGTTATCTCTGCTGGGTTCACGCATTATAACCCACTTTTCAACAACCACCTGTGGTTCAACAACAATCCACCCTCAACCCATATTCACTCAACCTCCACTCAACCCCTGAGTGTGGGTTATTGTGTTGTCTGAATCCATTCAATGGGGGAAATTAGCGGGGGATCACAACTGGAGGGTGCCTATGAGGAGTCCTCTGCCATCACACCTGCTCCACAAGGCTGGCAATTATTGGATACTTTCTCAAGTTTAATTATTGTGCAAGAGGGGGAGAGAGCAAGAGTGAGAACAAGCACAACTCCACATTTGAAAAAGGTCCCCCATCCAATGAGCTAAGAGATGGAAAACAGCAAAATAAAGCTGGAGGAGATCACTCATAAAGATCCAGAGGATCTTGACCCTAACAGAGAGGCGAAGACATAGGGAGCAGCAGGCAGTTTCCTTTTCGAGATGCTCCTGTCTCAGCAAAATAAGACCCTTGCAGACAATGCAGTCCCCGAGCTCCCTGGCTAGCAGCCGTACAGCTGCAAAAGGGAACTGCCAGAGCCTGGCACACTTGGTAGTCCTGGGGCGTCCACTGCCCTTCCGAGGAGACGTGCTGCTGATGCAGGCTGCGTAGCCCTCCGGATGCAGCTCTCCGTGCTGCCACAGTGACTGTGCAAGGAACAGACAGCCAGGCACAAGCTGACCTGCTCTTCTCTCTGTCACTGGAGCGACAATTGGCAGTTTGCGTGCAGCATCTTTAATTCAGCAAAGGGTGGTTACAGCACGAGCAGCATCCATTCCGGAAGTGGGTCCCACACATTCAGAAGGCAGCGAAGGGCAGAGCCTCCGACAGCAGCCAGTGCTGAGCACAATGTCGTGCTGGCGTCACTGGAGTGCAATCAGGTGGTGCCGATGACGCCAATTCAGCAAGGATGAGTTGAGTGGGAAAACAGCCTAACCTCTGGAGCTCACAATGATTCATGCCCATTTGCCTCATTTTGCCTGGAAGCTGCAGGGCCTCCATATATCTTATAGCACATGCAAGGAGTGAAAATTAGCAGCAAGCCAATGCTGCCTTCCAATCCTGCCACCTGAACGGGGAGAGGCAGCCCTTAGGAAAAGCAGTGACACCCTGGGTTCCACATGTTTCCAAAGGCGTGCAGAGCCCTGTTCACGCACTCATTTCTGCTGGGTGTCCTTTGGCTTCTGCCAGTGTACGCTCCACATCCATCACCAGCCCCTGTTCTACTGGGCTTTCAGTGACTTTGCTGCCAGCTGCACAGGAAGCAAATCAAGCAGCCAAATCAAGAAGCCTAAACTCTTTCCATTCACCAGATCTCCCTAGCCCTTGTGCCTATCCTTCTGAAATGTCGTAGGTGTCCTATCTGGGGAGAGCAGTGCACTTCTATGCTGCACATTGTTTTCATTCAAATAGCACCTCCCATAAAAAGGGTGCAGAGGAGAAACAACCCCCCCAAAAAAGGTACAAAGATTCCCTTTTCACAAAAACCACTGCACCTATCCTTCCTGGTTTTGTATCTGGAGTTCCCTTTATGATAGTTTCCAAACAATTGGCCACTCTTACAGAAGAATACATGCATTTTTTAAGCCCTCCATATTGTCAAGGCTGCTTTTTTACACAAATGTCAGCACACTGGATTTACATATTCCCCAGCCTGTAAATCCAGAACTTGGCAGGCTTGATCTGATCAGAAGTGGCAACTGACCCTTCAGTAGTTATCCAAGTCTGACAAGAAATGGTTTGTTTTTAAATATACTTCTCTGAAATGCTGCGGTTTTCACCCCTCAAAAGGAGTAACTATTCCTATGATAGCCATCTAACCCTGTCAAACAGGTTCTCTGGTGACAGTCACTGACACAAGCTTGTGGTTTCTGAATCAAAAATCAGATGTGGCCCTGAACAGAATCAGGTAGCTTCTAAATTGGTCCAAGATAATGAAAGTCATTTTCTGAATTGCCAGATCAAGGTCTGAATGGAATCCTGTGGTTGCTGCATGTTCAATTAAATTACTTTAATTACTACTACTATTAAAGTAATTTAAGTGTGAGAGGTGCACATAAGCTCCACATTACTTTGTGAATCAGCCTACTGATGATGATGATGAGGAGGAGGAGGAGGATGACGACAAAGACAATGATTATGACTTTTATACCCTGCCTCTTTCTCTCTTCTAAGGAAGCCAAGACAGCTTGCAAGATTCTCCTTGCCTCCATTTTACACTCACAAAAGCAACCCTGCTGGGTAGGCTAGACTAAGAGTCCAAGACTGGCCCAAAGGCTTTATGGCTCAGTGGGGACTGGAAGCCAGATGCTCCCATGCCATGCGTGTGTTTGACCAGCAGGGAAGGCTGAAGTCAAATGATAAATATCTGTGTTTGCTTTTTGAACAACAGGCAGCCTCAGCCCCTGACTTGTAGGGCCTAAAATTATGACCCTTGAGCATCTGGGACTCAGGAGAATGAGAGTATCATTACCAAGAAATTCCCAACCCTTTCTGATTTGATGCTGCTTTCGTTCAGTTTCTAATGAAAAGCTGTGTTAAACTTGTTCAAGGTACAAGCCAGTTTTAACTTCCAAGAAGTTGGAACAAACTTGGAACAAACTTTTTCTTAATCTCAGTTGGTTGTGCAATACATCTAAATGTGTTCTAAAACTACAGTAAAAAGTACAGTGTTTATACAGAATATACATAATAAAATCAACTCTGTAAAGGTACAAAGCAGGACCTTTCACCTTGCAATAACACAACCTGTTCAGAGAATGAAGATGTTAGTCAGACTTCGTTGACTGACTTCCTGCAGTGAAGGCATGAATTAGGGCTGGATCCTTGCCTCGTGTAAAACTAGATCAAGTTTGCTCTGAGTAATTTGCTTCATCTTTAACAGAGGAAGGCCAATATGCACTAGAAGAGAATCTTTCTGTTGGAGACCAAGTGGAGACACTACTATTGGTTTGGGCGGCAGAGTATGTCCTACATCATCATAATCTCAGTGAGAGGACTGGGGATTTTAGGCTACAGATGGTAACACCAGACTCATACAATGGCAGTTAAAAACTATGTTGAACAGCTGGTAATTACAATATTACATTCTGTTATGAGCTACAAATATAATAAGCATCCTTCAAGAGTAAATCCCTCAGATCTGGTGGGCATAGAAAGGAGTTTATTTTCTCTTTCAGGATAGTAGAGCTCTTCCATTACCAGCAGGAGAACAAGGTCTGGGGCCCAGTAATGGCTGCTTATAGAACCACGCTGGGAAGTGTGATTAACTAAGCATCAGTATCATTAGCTAATCATTTATGCTAAACTGAGATGCACCATGAAGTACGCACTGGATATGTACCTCCCAAGCAGTTAATGACAGTCAATGAGCGAGAAACCTCTTCCATAGTAATCATCAGGATCCTGCAGGGATGGGCTATATAGAAAAAGCCGTGGGCGGTACCAGTGAACAGCTAGGCACCTCTCTATTGTAGTGTTGCTGAAGTTAAGTGGGTGAGGATGTAATCAGAGTCGGAATGGGAGAACGCTGGGGGCCCAATGTGAGACACACAAAGAGTCTTCTGAAGGATGAATTGG